CAAGGAGAGATAAGAATCCCTTTTTAAGTGAAGAGTGTAAAGACATAGAAGAAATAATAGAATGGGAAAGACTAGAGCTCTCTTCAAGGAAATTAGAGATATCAAGGGAAAATTTCATGCAAAGATGGGCACAATAAAGGACAGAAATGGCATGGACCTAACAGAAGCAGAAGATATTAAGAAGAGGTGGCAAGAATACACAGAGGAACTATACAAAAAAATCTTTATGACCTGGATAACCAGAATGGTGTGATCACTCACCTAGAGTCAGACATCCTGTAGCATGAAGTCAAGTGGGCCTTAGGAATCATCACTACAAACAAAGCTAGTGGAGGTGATGGAATTCCAGCTGAGCTATTTCAAATCCTACAAGATGAATCTGTGAAAGTGCTGCACTCAACATGCCAGCAAATTTGGAAACTCAGTGGTGGCCACAGGACTGGAAAAGGTCAGTTTTCATTCCAATCTCAAAGAAGAGCAGTGCCAAAGAATGTTCAGACTACCACACAATTGCACTCATTTCACATGCTAGCAAAGTAATGCTCAAAATCCTTCAAGCTAGGCTTCAACAGTGTGTGAACCAAGAACTTCTAGATATTCAAGCTGGATTTAGAAAAGGCAGAGGAACTAGAGATTAAATTGCCAACATCTGTTGGATCTAGAAAAAGCAAGAGAGTTCCAGAAAAACATCTACTCCTGCTTCATTGACTATGCCAAAACATTTGACTGTGTGGATCACAATAAACTTGGAAAATTCTTAAAGCGATGGGAATACCAGACCACCTTACCTGCCTCCTGAGAAACCTGTATGTAGGTCAAAAAGCAATAGTTAGAACTGGATATGGAACAACAGACTGGTTCCAAATTGGAAAAGGAGTATGTTAAGACTGTATATTGTCACCCTGCTTATTTCACTTATATGCAGAGTACATCATGAGAAATGCCAGGCTGGATGAAGCACAAGCTGGAATCAAGATTGCCTGGAGAAATATCAGTAACTTCAGATATGCAAATGACACCACCCTTATGGCAGAAAGCAAAGAGGAACTAAAGAGCCTCTTTATGAAGGTGAAAAAGGAGAGTGGAAAAGCTGGCTTAAAACTCAACATTCTAAAAACTAAGACCATGTCATCTGGTCCCATCACTTCATGGCTAAAAATGGGGAAACAATGAAAACAGTGAGAGATTTTATTTTCTTGGTCTCTAAATTACTGTGGAAGGTGACTGTAGCCATAAAATTAAAAGATGCTTGCTCCTTGGAAGAAAAGCTATGAGAAACCCAGACAGTATATTAAAAAACAGAGACATTACTTTGCTAACAAAAGTTCGTATAGTCAAAGGTATGATTTTTCCAGTGGTCATGTACAGATGTGAAAGCTGGACAATAAAAAAGGCTGAGCACCAAAGAATTGATGCCTTTGAACTGTGGTGTTGGAGAAGACTCTTGAGAGTCCCTTGGACAGTGAGGAGATCAAACCAGTCAATCATAACAAAAATCAACCCTGAATACTCATTGGAAGGACTGATGCTGAAGCTCCAATACTTTGCCCATCTGACACAAGGAGCCGACTCATTGGAAAAGACTCTGATGCTGGGAAAGATTGACGGCAGGAGGGGAAGGGGACAAAGGAGGATGAGATGGTTGGATGGCATTACCGACACACTGGACATGAGTTTGAGCAAACTCCAGGTAATCGCGAAGAACAGGGAAGCCTGGCATGCTGCAGTCCATGGGATCGCAGAGTCGGACCTGACTCAGTGACTGAACAACAACATCCTGCCTTTCTGCTTGTTTTAGACTTAGAATTTTTAATGTAAATAACTGCTCCAAAAACTCTCAAAGTCACCTAGTTAGTAATTCCTCTTTGGAAATGAAGAAGAGAAATTCCAAGCTAGTTGACTCAGTTAGAACAGGATGTTAATAGTTAGGCCACAGCCTCAGATTTGGACTCTATGTGGGCCAATTAGTAAGGGCAGGCTTCTCACAAAGGTGTGACTGGTGTCCCAGAAAGGACCAGGTGAGTATGCAGATGGCGCAAAAGACAGCCATCACTGCTAGAAGGAAACAGTGGCTATTGAGTCAGTAGCACTGCATTGGTAGTACAGCACATCTTAAACAAAAGAGAGGAGAGAGAAAGAGGCTGGGAGGAGAAGAGGAAGGAGAGGAAAAAGAAAGGAAGAGAGAGAAGGAAAAGAAGAAAGGAAGGAGAGAGTGGGGGAGGGAAGGAGGGAGAGAATGAGGAAGGAAGGAGGAAAAAAAGCAACAAATAATTGCCGACAAGTTCATGGAGATAAATAGTAAGGGAAGAATAGCAGAAGGAACCAGGACCTGAAGCATGGCGTGACCTTTAATCAGGGCTCTTATTCCTAGCAGGCTGTGAAGCAGCTTTGTCTTTACCTGCTCAATGGATCTCGCAATGCTGATGCACTGCTTTAATTTGGGAAGCCTTTCTCTTGAGAGACATGTCTTTTCTTGCTCTAAGTCTAAAGTGTTCCCAAGTGTGGCATTCTCCGTGACAGATGTACTACAGTTATGCTTTAGCTGACTCTAAACCCATAGCTTCCCCGTGCCTGAGTGGTCTATTTGATGTCCAAGAGTGTGTTTCCTTTGAGAGCATGTCTTTACTGGAATATCATCCAAGAAGGTAGGGAGGTGTAATCCCTTTGTTCTAAAACAGCCCCTATGCAATTCGGTCACCCCATTCCCACTGCACAGCTATTCTTTCAAAAGGTCTTAGATGCATTTGCTGCTGTATTCAATGCCCTAGACATACTCCCTGGAAGGGCACTGTCCAAAAGAGGCTTAAGAGTCCACACCTTTCTAAACTTCTCCCAAGATTGCTCCAATTCCACACGACTCATTGTAAAGAAATTTCAAAATTAGTTTAACGTTACCAAGGAGACAAGACTCTGGTGAATCTCGTCACTCTGGTGTACTTCTTATAGGAATCTCAGGGTCTTGTTCACAAAATCAACCACATAACTGGCAGGACCAGCCAGTTCTATACGTCTGTGATTATTCTGCATGTCTGTTCCTCAGTAATGAAGTACTGCCATTCTTCTCTGAATTCTAACTTCCCCACCATCTTTTTCTTGAAGGAAGGCAGAAATGTAGCCAAGTGATACTGCTTTTAGAACATGTGCCCCTTGCCTTCTACCAGGAGTTGAGCTCTTCCTGCCAGGGTTGATGTCTGCCGATGGATGCATTGCTTCTCTAACTCCCTCTTGCCCGTCCCAGAAAAAAGGAATTTGTTTCCATCTACCAAATAGTTTGCATTCTCTTTTAGAGCCTTGATTAGCTCAGAAAGGGCTGGAGTCTTGGTAAAATGCTTTCTCCATTGTTCTTATGCCTATAATGACTCAAAAAGTATGAAGAAGTTTGGTGCTATAAAAATATGCTTCAAAATTCAAGGAAATTACTCCCTCTCAAACTTAACACTTGCTTTTCAGCATTTTTACTTGAGATGGCAGCCTAATTAATTATTCCACTGCCTGGAGCCTAAGAAAAGAAAAAGAATTGGAAGGTGATTTTTTTTCCCCCTTGTGTTTCCTTATTGTGGTTTTATTGTAAATATATCTCTTGGCTTGCTTTTCTCTTACCTTTCTGCTTTGAATTTGTTAGTTAATATCAGTTAACATTTGTTTAGTAAAGACAAAGCATGAACAATTTAACGTAGTAATACTCAGCATAGTGCTGTGGAATAATAGTCATTGATAAATTAACTGGGTCTTTTCTTCCTTTGTGTTTTGTGAAAATTCTTCAAAATGCAGAGAGAAATATAATCTATAATCTGGTAGAGACGAAGTTTATGCACCTGAAAATGTTGACATATTGAAGACTATTGTTGCTTAAATCCCTTAGCGAGAAGCTGTCAGCACAGTAAGTTGATACTTAGTTGACTAAGGAGTAGGCAGGACCTGAAACACCTATGCCCCTCACACCTCAGGCCATTGGAGTCATTTAGACCATGGGGCAGAATGTCTATTTTTTCTAGTACCATGGGTTTAAATAATGAAATGTAAGTAGTTTCATAGAGGACAGTGACACAAAATTTCCTTTTCCTTTTTTCTGCTTTTTAAAACAATGTATGTGTGACATATATTGCTTGTTGTCATCCAAATCTCTTATTTTATTTTTAAAATAATATTTGTTCATTTTTTTTCATGCAGAAAAGTATAAAGAATTTAAAAAGTGCCCAATAATCTCATTCTTAGAGAATGCCTCTTGACATTTAAAAGTAATATGTTTTCATGACTTAAAACTCAATCAGTACTGATAGGAACAAAATGAAAAGCATATATCTTTTGGTTTTAATTGTGAAATTTCAGATTCTGTCTGCCTGGGGACAGCTCCAGATATGTCCCTAAGAAGAGTCCAGATTTAAGAATAAAAGAACATGTGAAGATAAACCTTGAAAGTGGCAAGGGTGATAACTTACAACATAATGCTTTCTATAAAACTAACTCCTGGATATTCAGAGAAGGTGACAGAAGAACTCTAAAATGCTAAAAAGTGCTGATCTGTTAGAAAGTTCAGAACAGACAGGACAGCTTTGATGAGCTTATCTGAAGTTGTCATAGATACTGCAAAGAAAGGCTTCATTCTGTTTTTCAGGATTGGTGGATAATTTATGAACAAGAAAACAGTGACATGCTTCCATTCATGCATGTGTGAAAAGTAAATCACAGTGATTATGGGGTCAGCTAACCATATCAAAGTGAACTAAATGCACGATTTTTACGTGATCAGTTTTCTTGATCAGTTTTACAACACTTTTGTAAGAATGGTTATAGCTTTGAGCAACCTCTAAGATATTCTTCTGCCAATGAGTCTGATGATTATATGACAGTGAGACTTTCCTATTATGGCATGTGTGATGTATGTATTAAATCAGAACTGTAATTCATATCCTCCCATTCTCAGGTAATAAATGATAATGTGATAGTGTGTGTGTTGACCATCCAGTTATTTCATCTCTGCCGACACTTTCCTTCCCCAG